AATACATATTTAGTATATGTAGCATTATGCCTAAATATATACATACGAGTATGTAGTTACATATGTACATATATATTTCCTGTGAATGGTCGACATACATATCATATATTTGTTGCCGGGAGTGGTATGTGCCAAAAAAAAAACGCCTACAACAAGTCACACACATATATGTATATTAAATATAAAAAAAAGAAAACATAAAACATAATACACATACTTAAATTGAAAAGTAAACAAACAAGCATTTAAACATTTAGGTATGCATATACATGTGTACGTTTGTATGTAAATACACAAGCAGGTGGGTTTGAACAGCTAATTGGACGCTTAATTGGCGCTAAATACACGATGAACCGCTGACACTTGTTTTGAGGTTGGAAAAAGAAAACACCTTTCAACATCACGCACGCACAGACATACACACCCAGTCCTGCAAATTTATATATTATATTTATAAAAAAAAAAATTAAAAAAAATGGTAATAAATAAATAATAATTAATAAAATAACATAAGTAAAAAATAAATCAATTAAAACCTACAAAAAAAATATATATATATGTACATATATACATATAAATAAATTAAGGATTTGAAAAAATTGAAATAAAAGAATTAAAAATAAATAAAATAGAAACTAAAAAAAAAAATACATACAAATTTTAATTAATTTTGTGTACAGTGCTGGTGAATATATTAGCCCTACAATTATACCACTGTGGGCAAAAGGTAAGGCGAATTTTTAATTTGAGCTTCGCGCGTTCAATATGTCAGGTTACTTTTTTTTGTAATGTTGACATCTACGCCAAATTTCACGTTATATCATCATTGGTATTTTAGTTGCGCTTGTGTTTACTAAACGACTAAAAGTGCCTTCGGCGATTTTTATAATGTCTGATTTCATTGAGCAAAGAAGTGCGGAAACGTTTGCGGAACGAGATTTCGGCTGCTGAAACTTTGCGGATGCTACAGAAAGCCTTTGTGGACTCAACTATGTCGCAGTAGAACGTGTATAAGCGGTACAAAGACTTCAAAGAGGGTCGGAAACGTGTTGATGAGTTGGAGCGCTCGGGACGAACATCAACGCCAACTGATGTGCAACACGTCAATTAAATTAAGGAATTAGTGCTCAAAAATCGTCGATTGACTGTTACACTGTTAGAGACCTAAAAATTCCCCAACCACCGACTTCTGGCTCTTCCAAAAACTCAAGAGACCACTTCGAGGACACCGTTTTGAGTCGATTGAGAAGATTAAACGTGAATCGGTGAGCTCTATAAAGGCCATACAAGAACGTGACTATTTGCCATGCTTCGATAATTGGAAAAAGCGTTGACTGAAGTGCATTGCATCGACAGGGGACTATTTTGAAGGCGACGAAATCGATGTAGAAGGAGAAGATGCAATAGTGACTTAGAACAACAGCAAAAGTTTTTAATTGGCTTCCAAATAATATTAGTTTATATTATTAATATTAAAAAAAAATAATAATTTATAAAAAAATATAAAATATACGAGTAGGTATTTTTTAAATATATAAATAATTATATTTTTTTATTTAAATTTAAGAAAATTCATATTGTCATATTCCCTTCATCTTATGCATTTTAAAGAATTAAATAAAATTTTAACAGGTGGCAGGTTTCCAAATATATAAATAAAAATATGTTCCAATTGCGGTCACCTCTCTGAGCGTATTTTTGGCATAAAATATCAGGTGTACAACTTTGCTTCCGCCGTTTTTTCTAAAATTAAAAGCTTTATTGCGAAAAAGTGCTTACAGATATATTACTCAAAGTATTGTCCTTCGCTAGCGACAACTTTCTCTCATCTTTCCGGGAATTTTCGAATCCCGGCTCGAAAAAAGCAGCCCCTTTTGACGCTATCCATGAAGCAATTCATTTTTCCAATTCTTCGAAGGTTTAAAAATGTTGATCACACCGAGCTGATCCCACCAAATATAATACAAATCATAACCTTGGCGTCGTGAATATTCGTTGAAACCACTCCCGACACTTTCTTTCACTCAGAGCAGCATCACTGTAAGTTTCTGAGAGCATTCGATGCGCTTCAGCTGCATTTTTTTCGAATTGTAACAGAAGAGTAAAACTTCCCGCAAATGGCGAGAATTAAGCTCAGAAACAAGAACAACTGTCACTGAAACGGCGACGACAATTCGTTAGGCACTCTCCACACTCACTTTAAACACATTATCATTTATGTATTTCAACCAGCCTCAGCCGGTACAGCCACCTATCGGAAACGGCGGAAGAAAAGTTGTACACCTGATAAATAAACTGTCGGACCGATTATAAGCGCCAATTACATATAAAACTCTTATTGTTTTATATATTTATTCGTGTAACAAATATCTATTAAAAAACGGACATCGGGACCTTAATTTATTTCTAAATTTTTCTTTTTTGTTTTTAAACAAGCTAAATAATTATTTTTAATTTATAAACAATTTAATAATTTCTGAAAATAATTTATTAAATTTTTTGCTAATATTAAGCTATTATTTTGTGGCAACCCTATTCAATAAAAATTCCTATTAAAAATCTGTATTAATAATATTAAACAGCCCTAAATTACAATTTTATCAATTAAAATAAAAAAATAGTAATAAAATTTTAATCCTTCGCGCCAAAAAGTTGCTGACAGCCATACCGAAAAAAATTCACAAAATTTTAGATATTTTTCGGTTGTATTGTGGTATTGTTATTTTTTCTCAGGTTTTGTAATTTTTACAAATCAATGGTGATTAAAAAAAAAGTAGTCTAAAAGCTACTTTAGATATTTTTCGTAAAAATAGTCAGAAAAATTGGTATTCCATAGCACTTCACATATTTTATATTTAAGTAAAAAAAAAAAATCAAGTTTACACTTTTGAAAAAATCTTTTTTCAAAAATTAGATCAATCTACACTGTTATAAAATTATATGAATCGTTAGTAATGCACGGAGTTATGCCCATAATATTTATTTAGTATTGTTTTTATTGCTTTTTAAGTGCCAGCAATTTCTTTGTTTACTCCAAATATTATATACATATATGTGTGTTATAGTAAAATAGGCACGATAGTGCGCGTTTAACTTGATCCATGAACTTTTAGTCTCTCGGTGCGAATCGCTCATATTTCAAAACAAAATAAAGTGTTTTATTGGCCTTAAACACGCAACAACTTGTAGAGCACGGATATGAAGAAACTAAAGGCAATTACTAGCCGTGCACAAACACATATGTATGTCTGTGCATGCTTGCACAAATATAAACAATAAAAATACAATAATAAAATCACTGAAGCTTGAGAAAATATTGTAAATTCTAAATTATGGAGAAATAATACATAGAAATGCTGAAATTAATATTAAGAGTGATTTTGCTAGATGTAACTTTTTAAATAATGCAATAATTTTTTCGGAGTTGGTATTTTTGACAGCTGTTACTTGATTTATACGCCGGTTGGAGTCGATAATTCGAGCAAGAAGAAAATTTTGCGGAATAATCTTGGTTTGCGTGACTACGAAACCCAGCTAGAATTGAAGCCGAATGGCTCTCGAGGCTTTAGCATGTTCCATGAATGAGCCCGATTTTCACAAAAAAAAATTTAGTTCATCGATGAACAAAATTGTCGCATTTGGAAACGTCATTACATCTTCAAAAAGTCAATATTTGGTGTGATCTATGGGAAGAGGGAATTATGTGTCCTTATTTAAAGAAAAAATAAAGCCAACCCTACGCCATAATGTTGGAGTCAATGGGGAACGGCACATGGTCAAGATAAATTGGAAGGTGTTTATCTGGGCACGCAATGAAACAATCAATTTATTGAAGGAAACTTTTGCTCATGACTTTTTCTCGTGGGCCTGTGGAGTGGCTTTTAAGATCGTGCGATTCAACACCGCTGTGGATTATGTGTAATAGCAGCAAAAAAGGTCAGAAATTGAGCCTCTAGCCTGCAATTAGTTCAAACCAACCGCTACGGTCACTTGCTCGAAATAATTTTTAAAACATATTGGCAAGCCCTTATCTTTATTATAAAGCTAAATTCGTGGTTTTAACATTAAATTACATGTGTTTTATTTCTTCTTGAAAACCACATGTCTAAAAAAAAAACATCATTTACGTATATGCAAACTTAATGGATGTGAACCCGCAAAGAGAACTTGACTAAAGAAAATTAACAAAATTTGAATTAAAATATAAATAACAATGTATTTAAAAAACAAACGTGATATTCAGAATTTACTGCATAAAAAATTGATGTTAGCCTGAAAAATAATTATATAATGAATTTTACAGCACCGAAAATGTGATTTCGCATGTCACTGCGTATGAGCAACATTCTATTCTACAGAATTAAAAATTAACAACCGCTCATATCATAAGTGATTTTTTTTTTTTTTTTTAGAAATCGCATATTGCGAAATGCCAGCTTATCGGCAGTCTGAAGAAATATTTACAAGGCCATGCAAACACTTCAATATTAAATCATTATACATTTGCAGCATAAATGACAAATAATTTTCGTTGTCCATTAAGTAAGCGCAAGTGTTTGAAACATATACATACTTATGTTTGTAGTTCTATAAAATAAAATAAATAAATAAATAAATACAAAAAAAAGACCACAAAGTGTGCTTTAGTAAAAAGCATTGACCCCAATCAACTTGAAGCGCGGTAAAAATGTGTCATCACGGCGCCGTACGAAACATAATACGCGTGGACAATCCCACATTAAGTTTATGGCCAAACATAAAAGTTGGCTGCTTTGCATGGCAAAAGGTCGAATGTACATTAAAGACAAACAAATAGGAGTAAACATAGTTACAAGCATATTTACGTGCATTATTCTCTAAAACACAACAAGGTCACAAACTACTATTTCTTCTTTTATACTGTTCATTGATGCTAAATCATAATCTGCACGCGGAGGTCACGTTGGTGGTTTTGCTTTTTTTTTTTATTTGCCAATTGACTTAAACATACGTTAACTTACCATGTTTTTGGAATTCTCTTTCAGATCCTTGGCAAACACTGGCGGACCATTTGCCATTAAGTGTGGCTCCTGCAGCGGCTTCATAGGCGGTGGCAATTCGAGGCCAGCTTCCTCTTCGACCTCATAGTCGGCTGCTTGTGCGGCATTGGCCTGTGCGGTCGCCGACGCCGTTGTGCCATGGTGATGACTCCGACTGCTTACTGTGGCTGATGTGGAAAGGTTCTTCTCATCTTGTTCACTTTGTTTTTGTGTCAACTAAAGCGTGGAGAGAAAGTACGAAAGAAGATATAAATTAGATTAAACTATAAACGCTAACAGCAAAATGGACAAAATTGTAAGTACAAGTAGAATGTGCACAAAGAGTGCATATAAAAGGAAAGTTAATGCTTTTATTAGTTTCGCTTTGGTCTTGCTGCAAAAATTGAATGCGCTCTCAATAAAAGGAATTAGCGAGTGCAGCGTTTCAAAATAATGTCTATAAATATTTCTCTTTGTATTTATAAAACAAGCACGAAAATTTAAGTGCGTACGCGTAGCGAATAATTAAAATATAAATATATAAAAAAATATCACGTTTCTCAAAACATTAATGTACACTTCAATTCAGGGTCACAATAGGAATTTTTACAAAATGAGCGTAAAAGAAAAATGCACCGAAGAATTTTCGCGATTTCTATTATGACTGTAGGCAGCTTTAGCTTCTAATCATTCCTCCACTATAATATTTAAATTATATGCAAAACACAAACTTACTCTTAAGCTCTTCTCTGAGGATTTCTTGGTAAGTATTTTATCTGTTGGCGTTTTCTCGTTCTTGTTCTGTGATGTTTTGCTACGTAGAGGGAACCATTTTGGCCTGTAAGAATATTAAGAAAAAATTTAATTCATGTTTTTATGATAAAAAATAATACAAAATTTATTACTTTTTGTAGCTCAAGGACTTTACCGCTTAGAGGTTCAGGTTGTTTTTATATTCTTATTAATTCATTTAATTTACATTTAATATTTCAGCCTAAAAGTATGCTATAAGTATTTTTCAGTTCTAATTTTACCTTTCAAAGTTTTTAAAAATTTGTAAAATACAGTTTATCCTGAGGCGAATGCTATTATTTCATGTCAGAAACACATTCGGAGCGGCACTTGACATTTCCTTTCGAGGGGCGAGCATAATCAGAAAAATTAAATTGATTTCCTTTAATGTTGACATGTTATTCGACCAATACTTGAACCATGGCCTTCTGCGTGCCAGTACGCAATGCTAACCACTCGGCTATAGCGACCGTCAACAATACAACTCTTAGCAAAAAATGTGAATTTATTGAAAAATCGGGATTACAGAATCTCTTGAGTTGAATGACTGGAGGACTCGATTCAATTTCAGTGCAGGGGTATACAAAAATTTTTTGGTTGCGGTAACCGCAAAAATATTCCGCAAAATGGTTTTTGGAAGCGACAGTCCTTAGCCGGATAAAAACCTGGGTCTTTCCGATATAGTTAGAGACCTCGTGGTTATGAGAACTGTTGGGTTTTGTTCTCTCTTACGGCAGACACGAATTACGTCGGGTAAATTTTTGAACCCCTAACTTGCAGGTGGGATTTAAAGAAGAAGATACCAAACGAGGCTTCAGACAAGGTGACTCCTTACCGTATAACTTCTTTAATTTATTGCTGGAGAAAAGAAAACGAGCTTCAGAGCTAAACAGAGAAGGCACAATTGCTGGCGTATGCCTATGATGTTGTTATTGTTGACCTCAATAATAAATGCACCCTCAATTTTATTTTTGCGAAGCTGCATAAACTGAGGCGAATATAATGCAGAATAACATTTGCCAACCGATAATAGTTATACCAAGCACTACAAGCCCGACATCATTTTCGTCCTGCCACATGGTGCGGGGACCTGGACGATAGCAACATCTAATTAAGTTTTTTCTGTATATTGACATAGTTCAGCGAATGAAGAGGCAATGGTTAGGCTGGCTAAGTCACCTCGTCTGTAAGGGCGTTGATAATCTAGCTTAGCAAGATTTCGCCAAAGTACCCTTCGGTGGAAGCACAAGAAGTGAAAGTTCACTACTCCGTTGTTAACGCTGTTTACAGCTACAAACGCGTAAGCGGTGCCTAAGCCAATAAAGAAGTACAAGCTGCAGGAGTAGAAAATGGCCAAATTGAAGCGCGTGTTGAAAACGAATTTCCCAAATCCCTGAAGCCTATTTGAAATGAAATATGTTTCGACAGAAAAATATAAATAATAATAAAAAAATTTCTTACATAAGACATCACGTCATTACAGCAGAGGACACATAACGACATAAAAAAAATTTTTACACCCTCTGAATATCAAGGGCGGTTGGTTGCCATATGGTCAAGTGAATTGTGGTTGCATGCTCCGATGCTTGACCACACATAGACATAAATATTCTCATAAAAGCTACATACAAATGTCTCTCCCAATGCTGTCATCTAAGATACAAACATACATATTTATGCTCACTCATTCGTTCAATCATTCAAACTTTGTTGTCGGTGTGCACAATTAAACGGAAAGGAAGACGGAAGTCATAAAAAATGTGGAAATTAAATACGGAATAGGATGGTTGACCGCAACGACTCTTTGTCAATAACTTTTTTCCGCTCACTTCTTGCTCTCACCTGCGCCTTACATTGACAAGAGCTGAGCTGACACCAAAAGTGTCACTAATTTCATAAAATATATATATATATATGTAAAGATAACAATTGAAACCCGCAGGAACATTTTGTATTTTGGCTACAAATTTCTTGCCGCTGACTGAGCTTTTCCTATTGGCTACAGAAACTTTTTTGCGAATTTGTCTTTGGTTAGTTAAGATACTGTTAGCTGATGTACCGTTTAACCTCTAGTAGCAACATAACAGTTTAGTGCTTTTATTTCAGCTTCTTACTCAACACCTCAGCACACCACACCTACTCAGTACTGTCCTTACAGAACATGATACTTGGAGGATCCAAGATTAATGTGTAGGAGTTTTGTAGTACAAGTACTATGCATATATTTGCTCCACGTGTGCCTTATGTACATACTCGTATTGTACACATGCAAAGCACTCTTATATATTTTGTTAGTGTTGCAATTTGAGGTCGTCGCCTTAGTCATAAACATACATACATACATACATACATACATATATACTGACGCACTCTACTTAGATATTTATGTATGTATATCTACTCATATTTGGCGACTCATTAGTGGAGTGTCGAGCGCGTCTATTGTGGTGCGTTATTCTTTTTGCGTCTTGATAGCGAGGTAAACAAGAATGTGTTTTGTTTGGTTCGTATTATGTTAATTTACGTAGCGGAATTGGTGGGCGCGAGTGGCACGCGTATCGGTGCTGGGAGAGTGTTGGAAAACAGTAAAAGGATATGGGCGTTTGTCGAATATTCAGTAGGCGATATGCAAAAAATATATATGAATGATTACTTGTATTATTTATGTGTTCAATAAATTTATTTATTTGAAGCATTTCCATTGATACCAATCGAATTGGGCGTGGTACGCGAATGATGAAATATTTTCATTTTGACTGCGAAGTCATTTAGTGGTTATTGTGAAATTCTTAGGTTTGATTATGCAAGGTACTTATATTTTTAATAATAAATTGCGTATTTATTTATTTATTCATATTGTTTTTTAGAAAACGAACGGACGGCCGAATTCGATGAAATTTTCGGTGATTTCAATGGCGGCCGCGGTAGCCGAGTGGTTAGCATTACGTACTGCCATTTGGAAGGCTTGGGTTCAAGTCCCCGTGCGCCCCTCGACAGGGAATGTCAACCCCTCCGAGTGTATTTTTGACCTGAAATAAAGTAGTATAAAATGGTCCCTACAGGTCAAGATGCAAAAACCACAAATTGGAGGAGGAGCTCGCTAGCGGACTAGCAGTGGACTTATTCGAAAAGACCATAATTATAAATAAATTTTTTGAAAACCAGCAGACCCGACTGTAGATTTCTTTATTTTGTCCATTATTTATTCTGATTGGTATTGCAAAGAACGATAAAGAAAACTCGCAGTAAGTATCATAAAAGTCTAAATATTATGCGAACCTGCCCACACGATCTATGCTTATATCCAAATCACACTAAATTTCGTCAACTACAACCTCGATTCTTACTTTACTTTTCAATTGCCTGCTCAGTCCAAAGTAGAACCTATTGGCAAGAGTGATTCTGCGCTGGATTTCAAGGCTGACATTATTATTGGTGTTGAGGCTGGTACGACCTCGAAGTTATTACTGTCAACAGTGATGTGGGAGCCGAGTCGCGATTGCGTCGACTGTTTGTGTGATGACAGGATAATAAATAATTTCATGTAAAAAGAAGTATAAATCCGATTCTTTCGAACAGACCAGACCCTGACGCACTTTTTTTTCGTACAACCATTTTTAGGTAGCATAGAACCAATCTGAGATTTTCGGATCTTTATAAACGATCGTAAGATTTATATATGTATTTATCGATTTTAGATATCGCAAGCTTTTTTTTTTGGTAGAATACCGTAAATAATACTTTTTCTTTCTTCGAAAAATCTGAAGCAGGAGCTGGACTAACCGAAAAATATTGCTTTTGTTTATATAATATTAACATGAACAGTACTTTTTTGGAAATTCGAAAATAGTGGGCACGGAGACAGAGATACCACATTTAAAAAAATATTTTTTAATCATGTTAAATGGTTTTAATAACTTTTTGTGTGTGTTCAAGTGGTTTGGAGAATGGTTTAGAATAATTTTTTCCCGGAAAGTGGACGAACGTATTTGGAAAAACGTTAATCGGTAAAAGAGGTAAAAGATGAGCCGAATCCAAGAAAAGTTGATCGCGCAACAAGCACTTACAAGTAAATGATTGTTTTTTTTTTTTTTTGAAAACCGGACCAGACGTGTCGCTATTGTATCACTAAAACAACGGTGAACAGTTATTTCCGTGTTGTACACTACTATTTGTTATCCAGTTGTCTCTCAAGAAATCAGCAAAGCCAACCGCCGAAGACGCATCACTCTTCACCATGACAATACGAGTTCTGCCACACATCGATTGAAGCAGTGGATAGTCCCGACCTGGCACCGAATGACTTTTCATGATAGCTTAACTAATACCCTTTACCCGTCCAACCAACATGAGAGGCGACATTCGCACAACGTAAGGATTATGTCGAGTCATGATTGGCAAACGTCTGTTAATGTACAGATTTAGAGCTGTTCAGCTACACAAAAAAATATATTTAACAGCTTAAATTAAGTAATTAAAGAATTTTATAATTTAATTGTTGAGAGAAATAAGAATATCCTTTTTAATGGTAAAAAATGAGCCTGAGAAGTCGAAGGTGCTGGAGTGAATATTAAAATTGTGACACCACCGGTGAAAAGGTTCATTCATTCAGGAAGAATTATCGTAGCGTTCTATCGGAAATGTCTTAATGCAAAAAGCAAAAATTGTGTTTAAACAGCCTCGAACTTATCGGCAAGACCTTGATAATGGAGGCTCCGCCTCACCAAAATAGTAAAAAGTGCTTTTTCTACTCGTGAGTAAAAATTAAAATGAGAGGTTAACGTTTTTTCGACACTTGAAGAGGCGTTTGATGCGTTCAGAACGCATGTTTAGGATATACAATACTTTAATCTGAATGGGAATACTGTTTCGACAATTGGTTCTAACGCCTTCCACGGTGTATAGTTCTTAATGGAGAGTATTTTGAAAAACAATAAAGCGAATTTTGATGATTGATATTTGCTTTTGTTATCCAATGTCGAAATATAAAAGTCAACTCTCTTATCTATGATTCAATTAACAAGCTCGACTATTCTGGTAATAACA